AGCTTCTGTGATGCCCTGCGGGTGCAAAGGTGACCGACACAGTTCTATGGCTCTTTAAATTGACCTGTCAAAGGACAGGGAGAGAGAAAGAGAGAAACACACAGCTGTGGCTATGGGGGCTTGAGGGGTAAGGGAAACAGCAACGCGTACAACTGGAAGCTTAGAGTGTGAAATGCTGTAATGAAGAGGAGGGAGGCACTGCCTGGGAAGTCGGTAAAGAAGATAGGAAAGAGAACAAACATGCAGGAGAATTAGTTGGCAAGACAGGATCTCAGAGAAGAGCTCAGAAGCATCACACTTGGGACCCTTGCTACCCCTCCATCCCCCAAATCTCTTCCTCTCACCCTCCCAGTTGTGAAGGGAGATCCAACTAGTTTGATTTAGACCAAATCTTCGCACTGCCCCGGAGCCTGTGGAGAGAGGAAAAAACAAAAAACCAAAACCAATTCAGAGTGGACACTAAGGCTCACCCCTGACTTCCTTTTCTAAATGCATACAAAGAGTGGCTGATGTTCTTTGCAAGAGAACAACAAGGAAGGCTTATGAATTCTGCTTCAGATCAAGAGTTGCAGAGATCTTCCCCCAAATTAGCAGGAGACGAGCTCAGCTGGGACTACATATCTGACCATTCCATGTCCAGGGAGCAGATCCCTGCAGTCAGTAACCTCACTGCTCTGAAACAGGGCACCCCAGTTCACCTCCTGAACACACACACAGAGCAGCTCTGTTCATTTGCCCCCACTCCTCACCCTTTGGCTTTGGAAGTTTTCTTGCTCGCCTGGCGCTGATTGGTGCCAGGGGCCGGCTCCCTGAGCTCTGTTAGGTGCTGCTCCGGGTCTTGGGATGTGGCTGCTGCAGCAGCTGCTGTTGTCACTTTAATGGTCTTCTTCAGGTTTGCCACCTGCAACAGCAGAAAAGCAAGAACCAAGGAATTTCCCACATTTTTACTTTGCTTTGGGTTTTGGGGTTTGTTTGTTTTAAAGCAAGCCCGGGATTTAAGAGCTGCAAGCTCAGGTCAAACAAGAGCTAACAGCTGTCCAGACCTCTGCACTACAGAGGAGTGCTAAGCTGATTTAGGACTCTTCTTCAGGCACACCCCCCAGGGGGTCTGGCCTAGGGAAAAGGTAATGCCTTACTTGAGCAAAGACTGTAACAACCACAGGGTGCTGGTTCTAGTGATTTTTAAGTGAGGGGCACTGGCTGCTCCCTCCTCGGCCCACTCACCTCGCTCTCTATCTGCTGCTTAAGTGCCAGCTGTTGCTCTTTATGCTGGTTGGCCCGGCTAACCTGCTCTTCAATGCCCGACAAGACAACCTCGCAGCCCTGGCACCTGGAGAGAAGACATAGAACTGAACAGGCCAGGTAATTTACACAGCATAGAAAGAAACGTGAAAGATGACAGATTTCAACTCTAGAGGCCAAAAAGACTGGAAGGTGATGCCTACACCAAGCAGGGAAGACACAGGAGCAGGAGTCAAATGTAATAACGTAGTGACGTCATTACCCGAGAGGGGGACAAATAACAAAGTGACACGAGGTTAGGAACTACAGATATATACTCAGAAAGCCTCCTGCCAGCAGCCAGGATTGTGCAAAGGATGCTGCAGTCTCATCACTCCTCCATCAACAAACAGGGGAATGTGGAAAATTATTTTTGGAAAATTACTTTCCGCTGGAGTATGGGAAAGGGGATTGAGTAGGCCACCTCACAACACTACCCCCCAGTGACACACAAGAGGATCCGGGGAAGCCACCGGCCACTCCTGCAACCTTTTTTGGATGTTAGTATTGGGGGCTTCCTCCTCACCACTCCTGCAATGTGCGGGTGATGGTGCTTAGCTCCTCCCTCCGGATGTCCCTCCCAATGCTGTAATCCACCTCCAGGCGCTGGTTCCGCTGATCCAAGCTCCCTCGCAGCACATCTGCATACACAGCCTCAATCACAAGGTCCTCCAGTTGTCGGACGTTCTTCAGCTGTAACTGCTCCAGCAGCACCGAATAGGGGATGCACTGTGGAAACATGACAGTAACTAGCATGAGGTAATCCCAGTGGGAGGAGAATTCGGGGAAAAAAAGGGCCACTACCTTGATCTTGGCAGCCAGAGTGACGACTGACAGGTGCCTCAGTTTGTTCTTCTGAGCCTCTGACAAGGGAGGGAGGTTTGCTGCTTCAGCTGTTGTCACAGGAAAGAACAGGGTATAAGAATTTATGCCTCACTTTCCATTTCCCAGCCCTGCACAGAAGCATCTGCACCATACCCATTTCTTAAAGCTTCTGCACACCAATCCCCCAAGCGATGCTTCGTCTTGCCAAGCCGTCCCCATTAATTCTCAGCTCAAAAGACCCTTTCTGAGCAGCCTTTCCTCCCCTCAGTCTCAAGTCATCCTCTCTAGCTGTCTGGTGCCTTATTTATGGAGGTCTGCATATCCCAGCGGATACCTAAGTCTTTCCCCTCGCCCCTCAAAAATGTCTTTGTCAAGATGTTCTTGGAAATTCCCCACGCAGCTGGCAAACAGTAGCATTAATTATTGTCAGGTACTCCAGCAGTCTCGGGCCCAAACCGCCACCGGGCGCCTGTCAGGCCGTAGTGATGGAGGCACAGTTCTTGCTGCAAAGGGTGGCAGTTTGGGTGAGGGTCTACAAGGGCTCGGGGCTCCGGCACGTTTTCTGCACCGAGGGACCAGCATCACCGGGAGGGGAAAGGGCCCCTGAACCACCTTGTGCCCCCGCCACCCCGGGGCCCGGCCTCACCCAGGTAGTCGGCGTAGGTGCCGTAAGCGAAGATGGTCAGGAGGCGGAAGACGGGGGAGAACTCGCTGTCGGCC